CAAATGCCCGAGTGACAGGGTATCAGACCCTCTTCCTCAGCAAACCGAAAGTGACTTTCCGGCCCCTGGCGGTGCTAAATCCAGCCACGTTGCTACCAGAGGAGCTGGCTGACCAGCCACACAACTGCAGGGAGGTCCTAACCCAGGTCACAGGAATAAAGCCAGATCTCAGAGACACTCCCCTCCCGGATGCGGAGAGGACTCTGTTCACAGATGGGAGTAGCAACATGGTCGATGGAAAGAAGTATGCGGGGGCTGTGGTGGTTTCTCCTGAGCAGGAACTCTGGATGTTGGCCCTGACACATGGAACCTCGGTGCAAAAATTGGAGCTGATTGCACTCATCAAGGCACTGCAGATGGCCAAGGTCACTGCAGGCATTACAGTCTGTCTTAAAAAGAGGCCACAAAGGGATCCAAACTGCCCACACTGAGATGGAGACGGAGGTGGAACCACATCCTTACCAACCGGGGGACTTGGTTTGGATATGCCGCCACCAAGTGGGAAACTTAGAGCCTCGCTGGAAGGGACCATTTACTGCCATCCTGACCACCCCCATGGCAATAAAAGTAGAAGTCATCAGGGCCTGGATTCACGCGTGTCACATCAAACGAGCCGAGGACAAGGACGTCCTCCAGAGATGGATGCTGCTGCCAATGGACCCCGCTGATCGTGGACTAAAGCTAAGACTCAAAAAACAATGAGTTCATTGAGTTCATTGTTGCTCCTATTGTTAAATGTTACTTTTTGGCCCCTGCATTTTTTTTTTAAGATTTTATATATTTATTTGACAGAGAGAGATCACAAGTAGGCAGAGAGGCAGGCAGAGAGAGAGAGGGGGGAAGCAGGCTCCCCACCAAGCAGAGAGCCCGATGCGGGACTCAATCCCAGGACCCTGAGATCATGACCTGAGCTGAAGGCAGATGCTTAATCCACTGAGCCACCCAGGTGCCCCTTGGCCCCTGCATTATAAACGCCCTAATGTCATTTGTACAAAAGAGGACATAGAACTGGCTGAAAAGTCAAGGATTTGACTAATCTCCAAAGAAAAGGGGGGAATGTAGGGGCCTATTTAGCCAGAGCGACTCCATCTCGGTTAAATAGTGATTTTGTTGTTTATGCAGTAAAACTTAAACTGACCCTGCCCCCCCGCCCCCAGGGGAACGTACTTAAAACCAAGTCTGGGAAACCAGTAAAATATTGTCAACCAGTCCCTGATAATAGAGTCCAATACAAGGACAGGTCAGGTCAGGTGGAGATAACAGAGCCCAGAATGCAAGGATGAGTCAGGCCAGGTGGAGACATCCAATCAGTAAAGCACACATACCATCTCCCTAACCACCAAAGAATGTAAACCCCACCTTTTGGGTGCCAATTCTGACCAGAGTGATAGATAGGCTAGTTCAAACAGCTACTATAGGGTAAATTGTAATTCCATTGGCCACCCATGTGTGACCTAGCATGACTATGCAACTTTCTCTGTGTATTACAATCTCATTGGCCAGGCTCAACCACATGGCCTTTGCTCTATAAAAGCTAGTCTGTGAGGCTGGGGGTCGTCGCTCTCTCCATAAGAGACGGCCCCGACCAGTCGGTTTGATTCTTGATACTGGCGTGAAATAAAGCTTTGCTTGACCTTTGCTTTGTATCAGTCTCACTCCTTTGATAACGGACCCCATCAGAACTTGTCAAATTTTAAACCTAATTACCCGAACATGAACCTGACCCTTGTACTTCTCTATAGAGCAAAACTGTTCAGAGGTTATTGATCTTTATTTAGTTGGCCATATTTAAGATGCCCCTATTAAAAATATGAATGATAGTTGGTTTACTGATGACAATAGTTTTCATAAAAGGAATAAGAAAAGATGGGAGGGGCGCCTGGGTGGCTCAGTGGGTTAAGCCGCTGCCTTCGGCTCAGGTCATGATCTCAGGGTCCTGGGATCGAGTCCCGCATCGGGCTCCCTGCTCAGCAGGGAGTCTGCTTCCCTCTCTCTCTCTGCCTGCTTCTCTGTCTACTTGTGATCTTTCTCTGTCAAATAAATAAATAAAATCTTTAAAAAAAAAAAAAAAAAAAAAAAAAAGATGGGAATGCTGTAGTGCCCACTAGCACTTTGCAATTGCCAAAGCCTTAAAAACTAATATTAATACTGACTCCAAAGATGCTTTCCTAGTCCTACATGTCCATGGGGCAATTTGGAAGAAAAGGGGTTTATTATCAAGCCATAACTCCACAGTCCAATACAGGCCTAAAATTATTAACTCTTCTTAAGGCTGTACACCTACCTAAGGAGATAGCTGTAATTCACTTCAAAGGACGTTCAAAGGATATGACCTTAGGAACCAATGAAAGTAATATAGGGTTTACACCAGGCCACTGATTTGGGCAAAAAAGCCATAGAGGTGAGAAAAACTTCGTGAAGGAAAATTGTCCCTAGGTTTGGCCTCCCTTGGTCCCTACAAAGTAATGATGGACTGCCTTTTATTACACATTAAAAAGATGGCTCTCCAAAACTGAATAGCCCTTGATATCTTGACTGTAGTTACAGAAACCCAAAATTGGAGGACTTGTCTCCTAACGGAACCCAGTGGTTATATGGCCACTGTTCTCTGGGTTTTGCTTGGAATCACGGATGCATTATTAAAGCCACTACCAACCTGGCCAACCTTCCAAACTTAAAACAGTGGTGAACTTGTTCTGTCTCATGGATATGACCAACTAACACCCACTTTTGTTCCCCCTTTGGAACTGGAGGATGTTTGGCACGTGGAAGCTCTTACAAAGTACATGGTCAGTCCTAAATGCCCCTCGAAGTAGCATTTCTCTATTAAAATGCTATGGTGATACAGATGCGTAAAGCAGCTTTACAGAATAGAATGGTAGTGAATGTTTTAACTGCTACACAAGGTAGAAGTTGTGCTATTGATGGGGTCCATGATCAAAGGAGCGAGACTGATACAAAGCGAAGGTCAAGCAAAGCTTTATTTTGCGCCAGCACCGAGAATCAAACCGACTGGTCAGTGCCATCTCTTACAGAGAGAGCGACAACCCCCAGCTTCACAGACTAGCTTTTGTAGAGCAAAGGCCATGTGGTTGAGCCTGGCCAATGAGATCATCTCCACTCGGCCTGACTCGTCCTTGCATTCTGGGCTCTGTTGTCTCCATCTGACCTGACCTGTCCTTGTATTTGGGCTCTGTTATCACCACCTGACCTGACCCATCCTTGTAGTTGGGCTCTGTTATCAGGGGCTGGTCGACCATATTTTACTGGTTTCCCGGACTTGCTTCTAAGTAAGTTCCTCGGGGGGGGGGGGGGGGGGGGGGGGCGGGGGAGGGCACGGTCAGTTTAAGTTTTACTGCATAAACAACAAAATCACTGTTTATCCAAGATGGAATCGCTCTGGCTAAGTAGGCCCTTACATGATCAGAAAAACAAAATACTATGGTTATGTTCCAGGTTATCACAAAATATTTCTTGGGTTCTGACATACTCAAATTAGTACTTAAACAGTCTCTCTCTCCTTTAATGATTGATTAAACTCCTAGACTGGAAAAGGGCTTTTTGTCAACTAGCAAAAAACTTAATTTGAGCTTCATTTTCTTTTTGCTACATTAATCATGTTTTGCTGTTTCTCTCATGTCTCCTCACCTGGCGTTGACTGCTTCACTGCCATAACTTCCACAGATGATCCTTTCCACTTGGGAAGATCACCTGAGCTGTCTCCCCTGGATTCAGCTGCCTCAGTCTTTCCTAACTCCCCTACACAGTCCCCAACTGACCAGTATTGACCTGAGTAGGTAGGGACAACTCTACGCCCCTGTTCAGCGGGAAGATGTTACAGAAGCTAAGACCTTCCACCTTCAACCTTAAAGATTTAAGGGTCAAAACTGTTCAGGTGGGAATGATGAGGGAAGAGGGCTGGCTGAGGACAAAGCAAAAGCTGACACCCAGCAACCTTCTCCCACCCCCACTCCTGGGTAGGACATATGTGACATTCTTTAGGAATCTCCCAACTATCTTAACTGCTTGCTAAAAAAAGGGCAGAACGACCTTGGCAATGGATACGCCTCTGGTATCTGGTATCTTGTAGATCCTCTTTAGCATATGAAAGTTCTATAGAAACCTCCCTATTCTTTACTTCCCCCACCCCCATGGTACATAACCTGGCCACCCCTCACAACCCAGCGGCAGCAGCTCTTCTTTCTCAGGGTCCTGTCCCCAGGCCTTAATAAACCACCATTTTGCACCAAAGCTGTCTCAAGAATTCTTTCTTGGTCCTTGGCTCCAGACCTCACTCCACCAAACCTCAGGTATATTCTAGAACTTAATCACTCAAAACCCCAGGACACTCTTTCTGCCCAGAGGTCCTGTCCCTATGCTTTAACAAAACAACCTTTCCCAATTCCTACCAAGAATTCTTTGCTGGCCATAGTGTCCAAACCATGTCACCAGAGACCAACAGGAACTTTCTGAGTCAAAAAGGCACAAACGTCAGCCAGCGTGGGCCGGGAGAGAGCCCAGGGCGACATGCCCAGCTCCTGCCCCTTCTCTGCTCTTGTTCCTCCTCCATCCGCCCCACTGGCCGATTGGCTCGTCCGCCTCGCCCCTCTGGAACCTAGCCAGGACTCTCCCCGGAGGGTTAGAGCCTTTTAATTAAAGTTACTGGGGTGCAAGCGGTAGTACTGGTGCTGGCGGTGGGTTCTTCCTACTCTCCTTGAGCGAGTTCCCTTCCCCCTCCTTCAAAACCCCCGCCCCTGAATGGGGGACTGAAGGGACCTAGGTGACCTCAGTTATGGTCAGGCCTGCTAGCAGGGTGGTCGCCGACCTCCCCGGGCTTCCGAAAGGCTTGCGGAACCTTGACTGGGAAACCGCAGCTGGGGATCAAATCGTTAAACGCAGTGAGCGGTTCGCTTTCCCCTCACTGGTGTCCTTCCGCTGTCGTGGGCCCCCTGGCCCTGGCTCCCGCGCCGCCTCGGCGCTCCCCGCGACAGCGCACTTACCTTGGTCTCCGCCGGTCAGGGCGCGCACTTGGATCTCCGGGTCCCCAGTAGCTCCATGGGAGGCGCAGCCACGGGTGCGAAGGGGTCTCCAGGGGCCTGGAAGGCGCAGGGCGCTGGTCAGGGCGCGCAGCATCTGGGCGCAGGCTGGGAAGGTGCCAAGAGCCCCTCCACTACTCGGTTCACGCCGGGGAGAGGTCGCAGCTGTGTCCCTGGTTTTTGCAACTGCTCCACCTAGGGGCGCACAGCCCAGAGCGGTTCTCCACGCCGCTTCCCCTTTGGAGACTTGAACCCGGGCTAGGCAAAGCCCACCCAGCTCCGCTGCGTAATTTGGGGCAAGGATGCCAACCTCTTTAAGGGTCAGTGTTTTAATCAGTAAAGCGGGGATCATAATAATGACTACTGTCAAAGATACAGGGGGAGGCTAGTTAAAGTGAGAACAGGTTTTACTCACTAATAGATAATAAATACACTACAGCAAAAGGGACTGTTCGGTGTGAACTGGACTTAAACTTCTGTTTGTACGGAGGTGACTGAGAGTTTTGAAGGGAGAAGGAAGGAATATGGAGGTGGGTGAACCGGGCCTGTATAATAGAGTCCGGGGAGGGGAAAAATTACAAAATCATGGAAGGTGTTTGTTTGGCCACGTGAAACCTGTGAAACATTAGCTGTGTTAGCTAATGGAGTCTTATCCACTCTTAGGCTCCCACAGATTGGGGGTGTGGTGGGAGTGGGGGTTGTCTCCAGGTATTGGCTGGAGGAAGCAGTAAATTCTTTTGGCAGTGTTGACTTTAAAAATAAGTTATTTTAGGGGCTGCTTGGGTGGCTCACTGGGTTAAGCCTTTGCCTTCCTCTCAGGTCATGATCTCAGGGCCCTGGGACCGAGTCTCGCATTGGGCTCCCTGCTAGGCAGGGAGCCTGCTTCCTCCTCCCTCTCTCTCCTTCTCTGCCTACTTGTGATCTCTGTCAAATAAATAAAATCTTAAAAAAAAAAAAAAGTTATTGGGGCACCTGGGTGGCTCAGTGGGTTAAAGCCTCTGCCTTCGGCTCAGGTCATGATCCCAAGGTCCTGGAATCAAGCCCCACATGGGGCTCTCTGCTTAGCGGGGAGCCTGCTTCCTCCTCTCTCTCTCTCTGCCTGCCTCTCTGCCTACTTGTGATCTCTGTCTGTCAAATAAATAAATAAAATCTTTAAAAAAATAAGTTATTTTACAAGCAAAAACAAGTTTATTTGGGAATAGCGGAGAATTGCAATTTCAGACAAACAAGCCACAGGAAACAATCATAAGCTACTCCAACAGAGAGGGAATTTTGTGGAGAAGTTGGGAGGGGTTGTTTTGAAACCAAAACCCATTGGAGAAAAGCAAGAGTTCTGGGTAGTGAGGTTTTCTCATCCGCTGAGCTGCTGACCTACTGGATTTCTTGAAGGAGATTAAAATATACCACCTGGGGCGCCTGGGTGGCTCAGTGGGTTAAGCCTCTGCCTTCGGCTCAGGTCATGATCTCAGGGTCCTGGGATCCAGCCCCGCATGGGGAATCTCTGCTTAGAGGGGAGTCTGCTTCCCTCTCTCTCTCTGCCTGCCTCTCTGCCTACTTGTGATCTGTCAAATAAATAAAATCTTAAAAAAAAGAAAAGAAAAGAAAATTGGGGCACCTGGGTGGCTCAGTCATTAAGCACCTGCCTTCGGCTTGGGTCATGGGATAGAGCCCCACATCCGGCTCCCTGCTCAGCAGGAAGCCTGCTTCTCCCTCTCCCACTTTCCCTGCTGTATTCCTTCTCTGTCTCTGTCAAATAAATAAATAAAATCTTAAAACAAACAAACAACTAATGATGTCCTATATGTTGGCTAATTGAGCATAATAAAAATAAATAAAAATAAAAGGCTAAGAATTAAAAAGAAAATATAAGCCAGTTATAGAAATTAATAAAGAGAAACCTTACTAAAATGCAGTCAGGGGCGCCTAGGAGGCTCAGTCATTAAGTGTTGCCTTTGGCTCAGATCATGATCCCAGAGTCCTGGGATGGAGCTCTGGTTCAGGCTCCCTGCTCAGTGGGAGGCCTGCTTCTCCCTCTCCCACTCCCCCTGCTTGTATCCCTTTCTCACTGTCTCTTTCTCTGTGTCAAATAAATAAATAAAATCTTAAAATAAAATAAAATAAATATAACAATAAAATGCAGTCAGGAGGCGAGAAGTGGGGGGGGGGGTAGGGGGGAGCTCTGGTGCCATACCACCAGAAACCAATTACAGAAAGAACTGTCAATTATAGACCCACCAAGAGAGGATATATATATAGATATAGATATAGATATAGATATAGATTTTAAGATTTTATTTATTTATTTGACAGAGACAGAGAACACAAGGAGGAATGGCAGAGAGAGAGAGAGAGGGAGAAGCAGGCTCCCTGCTGAACAGGGAGCCCTACGTGGGGCTCCATCCCAGGACCCAGCCAAAGGCAGATGCTTAACTGACTGAGCCACCCAGGTGCCACTGAAAACCATCTTAATATCCACCAACAGGTGGTTAAATAAAGTATGTACATCCATAAACTGAACACTAGGTAACAAGGAACTTTTTATGCACTGATATTATCTAAAAAATCTATTGTTGTATGAAAAATTCAAGATGTGAAATAGCATGTAAAGAAAGCTAAAGTTTGTATTATACAGGGGGATAACATTACTCACGTGTGTATATATGTATTTGGTTGTAGTTACATAAAATATTTCTAGGATGGGGAGAGAAACTGGGAAACTGGGAATGGGGTAAGAGGGAGAGTTTTGACAGTTTGACCTTTTATACTTTTGAATCTTAATTCATGTGTTGAGTATTATCTACCCCAAAAATAATTAAAATGAAAACAGAACACACTGACAAAAATAAAAGACATGATATAGCAAAAATAGAAATAAAAGTAATACACAGGGGCACCTGGGTGGCTCGGTGCATTGAGCATCTGTCTGTCTTTGGCTCAGGTCATGATCTCAGGGTCCTGGGGTCCTGGGGTCCTGGGATCAAGCCCCATGTCTGGCTCCTTGCTCAGTGGGGAGTCTGCTTCTCCCTCTGCCTCTCCCCCAATCTCATGCTCCCACTCGCTCGCTCTCTCTCTCAATTAGTCTTAAAAAAGTAATACACAAAGTCAAAACATTCAAACAGTACAGATAAGTGTAAAATTAAAAGAAAAAACACCCCTCCTCCGTACTGTATGCATTTAAAAGAATGTTTATTGCATTTTATCCAGCATTTCTGGGTTTTTCTTGGCAGGAAAAGCTTTTTTAAGATTTGAGAGAGAGAATGTGTGTGAGCAGGGTGCTGGGGGCAAGAGGGAGATGAGAGAGAATCCTCAAGCAGTCTCCCCACTGAGCATGGAGCCCAACATGGTACTCAATTCCAGGACCCTTGCATCATGACACAAGCCAAAACCAAGAGCCAGCAGCTCAATCAACTCCCAGGTGCCTTGGCAGAATTTTTCGATTATTTAGTCCTCCACACTGAAAATGGAAATGTTCTTTCCCAATCTTTTCAGCATTAACAGCAACTTTTATTATCTTACTAGTCCCTCTCTACTTCCATGGACATGTATTTTTTTTTTCTTATGAAATAGTAAAAATTAATTTTATTCAATTTCATCTCATGAGTACATATATTTTTAATATTCTGTGTGACAAAATGGGAAGTACACATCAAGCACTTCTGCTGTAAGCCAAAGTATAATAGTTGATCCCAGAAAACACCTGTGTGCCTGTTTGAGTTACCAGCTGAACTAGCCACATAGGTTATAGAATGCCATTTTCACTTGAATGAACAGCTAACAAACTACAGTTATTCAGACTTGGGTGTTTCACAGACATTTTCTAAAATATGTTAAAAAAAAAAAAAGGTGAGTCTGTCCCTTCAACAAAACAACAACAGCAACAAAAAAAAAGGTGAGTCTTTCCCTTCAACAAAACAACTGACAGTACTTTTTGGCCAAATGAGAACTTGTTTCTACTACCTTGAGTTTAGTAGCTTAACGTTTTTTCTAAAAAATGAGATGGGTGATGATATGAACAAATGTGATTTTCTTGATATTGTACAATGACATTCTACTTGATACATTATGAAATTTGAAATATCAACATTTGGAAGATTTGCTTAACCCAGTGAGCCAACATTTGCCAAATGACAATGCCTAATGTAATAAAATTATACATGGTTAAAATATCAGAACAAAGGGCAAGATAAACCAATAGATTTTAATGTAACAGTACAAAAGTTCACCAACATGGTTTCAGAAGTCACACTGTACATACCTTTCAAGAAACTACGACTCACTAAGTTTTAGGTATAGTATCAAAAAAGAATGTCCACAGTTATTTGAAAAGGCAATTAAAATCTGTGTTAGACATATACACAAAAGACACAACAGTTTGGTTGTTGAAGCAGAAATGAGAGTCTGGCTATTTTCTATGAAGCCAGATATTGAACAGATTTGAGACAATGTAAAATAATGCTACTCTTCCTACTAATTTTTTGAGAGAAAAGCCTAGCTATTTTTCATTAAAATATATATATTTTAAGATTTTATTTATTCATTTGACAGGCAGAGATTACAAGTAGGCAGAGGGAGAGAGGAGGAAACAGGCTCCCCGCTGAGCAGTGAGCCTGATGCGGGGCTCGATCCCAGGACCGTGAGATCACGACCTGAGCCTAAGGCTGAGGTTTAACCCACTGAGCCACCCAGGTGCCCCTAAAATATTATTTATATTCAGAAGTAACAGATTACTTTTTTAAAAGATTTATTTAGAGAGAGAGAGAGAGAGCAAGTACACAAGTGTGAGGAAGGGCAGAAGGAGAGAATTTTTTTTTAAATTAATTAATTTATTTGACAGACAGAGATCACAAGTAGGCAGAGAGGCAGGCAGAGAGAGGGAGGAAGAGAGCCTGATGTGGGGCTCGATCCCAGGACCCTGGGACCATGACCTGAGCCAAAAGCAGAGGCTTTAACCCACTGAGCCACCCAGGTGCCCTAAGAAGGGAAGAATCTTAAGCAGACTCCCTGTTGAGCGTGGAGCCCAACATGGGGCTGGATCTCAAAACCCATGAGATCATGACCAAGAACTGGATGCTTAACTAACTGAGCCACCCAGGCCCCCCAAGTTTACTTTTATTCTTAAATAACTGGTAAGTGAATGTTTTAAGATTTTCTCAGCTTTGGGGCACCTGGGTGGCTCAGAGGGTTAAAGCCTCTGCCT